TATACAAAATTTAAAACGCACAGTTTACTTCATTTATAACTTGAACGTAGGAATAGTTCTTAATAAGAAACCCAAAATAAGTGAGCTCTCTTTCCCCCAACTAAGGAAGCTGAAATGGATCATTAAACTTATGCCTTGATTTTGAGACACACAGGTCTCCTGAGAAAACATGGGTGGTGGTGGTGTACACTTTTAATCCCAGCACTCTGGAGGCAGAGGCAGGTGGATCTCTGTGAGTCAGAGGCCAGCCTGGTCTACAGAGCGAGTTCCAAGACAGCCAAGGCTACACAGAGAAACCCTGTTTCAAAACACAAACAACGAGAGAGAGAGAGAGAGAGAGAGAGAGAGAGAGAGAGAGAGAGAGAGAGAGAGAGAGAGAGAGAGAGAGAGAGGAAAAGAAGGAAGGAAGGAAGGAAGGAAGGAAGGAAGGAAGGAAGGAAGGAAGGAAGGAAGGAAGGAAGGAAGGAAGGAAGGGCAACTGTGAAAAAGGCAACTTTAATCATAGTGCAGGAATATAAGCATAGCTTCTTGGGGAGCTGAAGAAGACTTGACTGAAAAAGTAAAGAGCTAAGAACACCTCAGAAAATGTGTACTGTTGACATGGGCACCGCCATGTCAAAGACCCACGGAAACAGCAAGGCCTTCTCTCTATCCCCTACCCACCAAGGGAAGGCTCAGGGAAATGCCAAATCCTTCTTCTGGTCTGAGTGCAAATATTGAGAGTTTGAGTGCTTACTGACAATTGACCAGTGTGCACAAAAACCAGCAGCTGCACCTTCTTCCTCCCAAATGTTGACAATCTGAGGCTGCTGGCCTAGAGAGACCCCTTCAGAGACCAGCTAACTCGTCCCTCCCTGTGGTATATCATCAGTCTGTTGAGGTGCTGGGTTGTGATGTGGTTGGTGCTGCTCAAACAGAATCGGCACCACCCCTCTGACACTAGCTTTTCTTTGCTTGCATCCGTGTGTCTGTCCTTTCCTCTCTCCTTGTCATCCTTCCAATCCCCAGTGAGGTTCCCAGGACCAAAGCCATGCTGCACACAGCGTAACTTAAATAAAAAAAAGTCCATTGAACCTTGCCGTTCTCCTTACAATTCAACAGCTTTAATAACTTTTCCATACCAGCCAATCTACAAAATTAAAGCCAAGACAAATTATCTGACTTCAAATTCTCCTTTCTTGTATACTTACCAGTTCTCTAGTGAAGATTATACATAACAAGAAAGTTAATGAGAAGAAAGATATTAAGGGTTTTGGTAACCTACAGCTTCAAGAGTCAGGGTAGGAGCTTATTTTCTCTAACACACATTCTGAAGGCACTATCTATATGGCATGTTCCAGGCCACCCTGAGTTATAGACTGTGCTCCAAGCCAGCATAAACTACAAAGGAAAATGCTGTCTCCTAAAAATTTCAAAAGATACTACCACTGTGGGTATTTTCATAAGGCAAAAAAAAAAACAAAAAACAAAAAACAAAAACCCACACATCTCTTAAGTTTCCCCAATAATACCTTAGAGTATCTTTGCAGAAGAGCAACTTGCAAGAGAGAAACACTTGTCAGCCAATTCCAATCTCGTCCATAGCCAGATACTCAGGACAGCTAGGCGATTCCTCTAGTATCTAAGGCATGTAGCTGAGGACCAGCTAATAAGCTAAAGTTAGAATTGTCGCTGCATTCGGTGTACAGTAAGTATATGACACAGGTGCTGAAATGCAGAGACAAAAGGGAAAGCATCTCCAGAAGGTGACAAAGACTGCATTGGGAAGACATGGAAGTAAGTCACTGAGGTTTAACCAGGAGGAGGGGCCCAGGTCTGGTGTGAGAGTCTGAGAACATTTCCTAAGAAGCAGTGTAGACATGGAAGTAAGAAACTGAGGTTTAACCAGGAGGAGAGGGGCCCAGATGTGCTGTGAGAGTCTGAGAGCATTTCCTAAGAAGCAGTGTAGCAGTAGAGAGCATTTCAGAGTGAGACAAGTTGAAAAACCAGCTCAATAGTAATCAAGTTGTGTGGTTTGGCCAGTGATGTGACCTTCATACAGGGCTGCTTGTCCAAGAGCATGCAGGCAGCAACTTCTGTACAGCTAGCTACTGGAAGAATGCAAAAAGATGCTATGGGGAAAGTACTCTTTATGTGTAAAAAACACATACTCAATAAACTCTACTGATTTATTATTGTTATTCAGCCTTAGACAAAGTTACCCACAATTTCTGGTGTTTTCTTGGCCATTCACTGCATCACTGTCCCTAATCTCATGACATCTTGCTGGGCATGTGTTTAACACCTGGGGTGTGAGCTACCTATTTGGAGAAAGATGAGGCTAAAGATGTGAAACCATGGCTTTCCTTGTGGGGTGCTCTTAGCCATGAAACTCATTTATACCATCATCCTTTGCTCTCTCTATTGGTCACAGTGTCATGACTTCAAAGTTTATGATCATACTGTGGGCTCTACAGTTTCTTTTATGAAGAAGGTTCTTCCTTTATTCCATCTTTTATACTCATTTACTGAGCACTCTAAAGACAACTGACATGAACTAGGAAAGGCCAATATTCTTTTAATTTTTAAAAACATTTTAAAAGCAAAGAATAAAAGAGTACAATATCATGACAACTAAAACTTGTTATCATTTTGAGCTTGGGATGGAGCTGAGTTGAGGGCATATATCCAGCATTCTTTCAATGCCCACCTCCCCATCCCCCCAGCACCACAAAAATTGAAAACAAAACAAAACAAAAAAATGAACCAGAACTTTTTAATCATTTCTAGAATTCATAAACTAACCATCTGGTGTTTCCCAGATACAGAATACAGTTACACTGAACAGTATCTGTGATTTCTATAAGGTCTTCTAGATCACCTTTGGGAGGCCAACAAGTCAATCACCACTTTATATGGACCACACTGGGATGTGCTATGAAGGTAGCATCTGTGCCTACAATCCTGCCACCAATTCAAATGCTGGACTCATTCCAAGAAGGACTTGTTTGACACCTTCGAGCAATTGTATTTTTTCCTTGTGTTTATTCCATACCTGAACTCTATCAAAAACACTTTAGAACCTAGACCAGCTTTTCTTTCCAATCTAAAGGAACTGGCATGGTACCATCAACTGCATATCACTGAAGCCCAATCCCCTTCCCACCAAAGACACATCTAGCACGTTGTCGGGTCTCTGCCATGCATGCCTCACACTTACTGAAAACACAGCAATACTGCCATAGTTCCATTTTAACTAAAAGCACTTGCTTTCTCAAGTGTTAAGTCAAAGTGTTAAGTAGAAGTTGACATGCTTGTGACTCATTTTAAAATAGCAAGTTATAATCAGCTGACACTGTATGAAGCATGAAACTCAACCTATAAATCATACGTCTATAGAAAGACTGAGCTGGGAAAATGTGAAGAACAAAACCGAAACATGTCTCTATCATAAATTACAATTACCAGTTTGTCATCAACTGTTTGAAGGATTTCTAAGCTATGCTCCTGATATTAAGGTTCCTAGTCAACAATACTCTTAACTAGTCCTAAAATCAAATCACTGAAATAAATTTTAAAAGATTTATTGAATGAGTGTCTGCTCTGTGTGTGGTAGAGGGCACAGAGGATAGAAGAGGGCATCATGGGATGCATGAGACTGGAGTCATGGGAGGCTATGAGCCACACAACATGGGTAGTGTGATCTAGCTCTGGAAGAGCAGCAAGTGCTCTTAATCTCTGAGCCATTTCTCCAGCCCCCAACGCCAGTAATGTTTTCAATATTTAAATAACTACTGGCATTTGGACAGTAAAATTTAGCAACTATGCTTACTTTTAGCTTTTTAAAACATAATAATTTCTTGTACAAAAATGGTGCAAAGAACACCCTTGGTAAAAAGCAAGCCTTGTTTCCTTACTGTACACATGACTGGTAGCACTTGGGCTTGGGTTGCAGACTCTGGACTTACAGTAATAGTTCTCAAGTAATAATCATGAATCCTAGAATGTTCGTTTTCACTGGAACAATCGCTCCTTTGTCCAAGTTCTTTGCTTGGCTTTATGTGGTATTTGTCATCAGATACCACAGTTCCTTGGACATAAGCCCATATTCTTCTAGTCTGACATCTGGCTACCTAATCTAAAGGTCAAACTCTGGTATATGGAAGTCTTTAGACCACTTCTCCTCCTTTGCTTAAGATGAATCTGAAGAGTTTCAAGACCAGCATTCCTTTAATTCTCTTTGGTCCCTATCTATCTCTAGGAAAAAAACAAAACAACAACAACAACAACAAAACAAAGCTGAAAAGTCATCCTCAAACTTAAGACACAGCATCTTTACAGATAGATAATGCAGCCCAACTGACTGTGGCTTTCAAAATTAATGCAACGTCTTAGCAGGTCTCAATTAGGTGAGGTCTCAAACTGGGGGAAGCAAGTGAGATTGATGTGTTGAGAAACTAACTAAAGGAGCACAAGAAAGGCAAAAAAGAAGCGTGACAAGCTGCAAGGGAATAAATAACTTAAGCAACATTAAATAATGATGGGGATAAGGAGGACGGAGACATAGCACAGTAGCTAAAGCATGTGATGCTATTGCAGAGGATGCATATGGATGCGAGCAACCACATGCAGTGGCTCACAACCACCTGTAACTCCAAATCCAGGAAGGCAGCATCATCTTCTGCCCTCCTCCGATACTCTCCCACAAGTGGCATACACACACCCAGACATACACAAAAACACTGAAGTAAAAATAAATTGCCAAGTGTGGGGGCCCAAACCTGTAATGCCAGTACTCAGGAGCATAGAGTGGCAGATCTCTTAGTTAGAGACCAACCTGATCTATACCGAGAGTTCTAGGCCAGCCAGGAGCTTTGCAAGCCTCATTTTCTCATGAGAATGTGAGATCATAGACACATCTGACAATGGTTCTAATTGAGGCTTGAGTGGTGATCCTGAGGATACCACATAGTCTGTGCTAGGGACATCTGTGTCAGCATGTCAATGTGGTCTTTCCTTACCTCCAGATGCTCTAAAATATATGGTGGATTTGTCATGCCCAGCCTCAGCATGGCTCCCTCAGGAATCACTTCCACCAACTTCCACAGGAGTGTGGGGAGATCTGTGCCAATGTCTCTGCCATAGGCCCCAGTGTCTTCGCTGGTCAGCCATATCTCACAAACACCCTCTGTGAATTAAAGAGGATAATTAACAAATCGGTGGCCTAGCCATTTCCTTCACTATACTGCTGCTCACCCTTCTTTTTTTTTTTTTTTTGGTTTTTCGAGACAGGGTTTCTCTGTGTAGCTTTGCGCCTTTCCTGGAACTCACTTGGTAGTCCAGGCTGGCCTTGAACTCACAGAGATCCGCCTGGCTCTGCCTCCCGAGTGCTGGGATTAAAGGCGTGCGCCACCACCGCCCAGCTCTGCTCACCCTTCTTAGTGCAGTATTTTCAACACCACTATGCAGGCAGTCTGGGCATTCGATTGCAGAGAGAAAGCAGTTTATCCCTCCCGGCCAGTGGGTTAGTAAGTTCATGTTATGAACATCTGAGAGTTGCAACAAAGTCATAAGTTACCAGTGTGTCCCATGAAGTCATTAACATTCACAGCCAATCAGCTCAAGTATGCCTCTCGAAAGCACTTTGATCATTGCTAGAGAGTTTCAGGCTCACCTCAGAGAATACTCATTAAACACTGCGAGCCCTGGAATGGCAACAGTCCCTCCACAGAATAGGGATTGGGAACAGTTAACTCACCAGTCAGGCTGCTGCCAACCCAAGGAAAAATGTCAAGTGTAGTTAAGGATTAACTCACAAATTATTAATTAATAATAATGAACTCATTTAGCCTGTATTAACTATTTTAATCTGTCACCTTTATTCCATTAAAATAGTGCTCACTTTATCTTCACATTAAAAACAAACTGGGCTGGTGCATAAAGTAAGTTGGCTGCCTTGGAAAGCCTTCTACATTCACTTAGGTATTACACCTTAGGAAAGAATATTCATTTTTTTTGTTGCTGTAAGGAATCTTATCTTGAAATGCTTGGGCTTGAGCTGGGATAGGCGGCAGGCAGCACGTGCCTGTGATGTCAGCTCTCAGGAAGCTGAGATGGGAAGACTACTCCAAGGACAAGACCAACCGAGGCTTCAAAGTTCCAGGCTAGTCTGGATTACAAAGCCAGTTTGTCCTTGCCTCAGAAAGTAAAACCAAAACAAAAAGTTACAGCCTGCAAATAGCAGCCTTTCAAAAACTAAGAGAAAATACTTTGGGATCAACTAGTGCTATTAAAAATGAATGAAATAGACTGAGCAAGAGTTACCAGGTTTTTCTGACAGACACAGACCCTTCCTGAACCCATGTTCAGTGAGCAAATAAGGTGATATTAAAAGGCCAAATGATTCAAAAGGCTAAAAAAAAAAAAACAAGTGTGAACTTAGTTCAGACTCAGTTGATTCCCTGCTTATGAAAACCTCCATATACAGGCTCCAAAGGAAAACACAGTGGAAGTTTCCAGAAACTGTCTTAAAATTGTCATTTCATGGCAGAAGGTTTCCAAAGCACAATTTAAATTGTAATCTCCAAGAGAGGCAACAAAAGTGCCTTGTTTTTGAACATGGATGCACTCAAACTGTACAGAAGAAAACCCACCCCAGAGCTCTTAATTATCAGTAATACAGTCCACAGCTTGGACCTAAGGCCTCTGGACACTATTCTTTCTATAGATAAGAGCTATGTGTTTTATTATCATCAAAGCTGCAAAAATAAATTTTATCTTTCTGAGATATACACACGAGTCGGAAGACACAAGAGTAGATGCAAACTGCCCACTTTTCACAGAGAGAATCACGGATCAGCAATAAGAGTAAAAGCTACTGAAAAGGGTCCATTGGAAAAGGTTCTAGGCTCTCTTGAGGCTATCCTTATCTCCACAATCTAAATCCTTCTAATACTTCCTGCTACTCTCACTCAAGAAAACCCAGGAACAGTGGGGTTGGTGGGTAGGTGCCCCACACTCAAGGAGCATTATAAAGGAAGGGGCAAAAAGAGTGAAGAGGAGAGCTGGGAGATGCTTCCATCTGGACATGACCTGGCCTTTGTGCTCAAGAATTCACCATAGCTGTGATTACCTACACAAGCCCTGCCTAACGCAAGTCAAGGTCAGCCAGCATTTCAGTCCAATCCAACTGGACTCACCAGGTTACACACTTAAAGGAGGAGAGGACATGGGGACATGATGGTGGGAGGGGGGTGCATTGTAGCTTGTCTAGGGGAGAACGAAGGGAATTGGGGGTGGGTATTGTTGGAAATATGACAAGAAATTCAAGAGGCCAGTGGAAATGAAGCATCTTTTATGTACAGTTCTGCAAAAAGGACACAGCATTGAGAAAAGGCAAAATGGCTGCCATGTGGATCTGGTGCTGAAAGGTGGTTTAAAATCCCCTGCTCCTCTCTTACAGGCCAGGACTTACACTCCTCCCAAACTCTCTATCTCATTAGTCAAGGGCAACCCCCACCTCCAATGAAGAAGCTGGAGCTTGAAACTGCTCTTTTTCTCCAATTCTTGGCTCAGCCATGAATCAGATAACCTGTAACTTTGTAATTCTGAGTTGTGAGACAAACTGGGGTCAGCCCAGCTATGGGAGAGAAGCCCTGTTTGTTGGTGACTCTGAAAACAGAACTATCAATCTGTTTCTTACTAGTATGGTCAAGCTATGTTACAGACATGCATGGAACTCAAAAACTAAAAAAACTATTGAAAGTATTCCAACTGATGGTGCAATCGTGATTTTAAAATTCTGTGTGCCATCAGACATTGCACTTAAGTCCGGCCCTTTTAAAAGACAGGGTTTCATGTAGCACAGCCTGGCCTGGAGCTCATTCTCTAGCTGAGGCCAGCTGCAAAGTTATGATTAGCATCCTGTCTCAGTCCCACAGATAACAGGAGTGAACCACCAGGCCCAGATTCATACAACCTGCTTAAAAAACTATAATTTAAAAAATAGAAAAGCTCCAGGAAGAAAGATGGCTAAGTAACAATAAAAACACATATTAAAACATTCCAAAAGAGGTTATAAAAACAGGACATTAACTGTGATTTTCCAGTTACTGGCATTTGAGCAACACAATGTGAATATTTTAAAGTGAACAGAATTTTAATTTACAAATTTTCCATCCAAATGGTTCCACGTATGCCTTATGTAGAAAGAGCAAGTTCCTGGAACGGTGCCCTCTCTGTTGCTGGGTGAATACAGAGGGGGAAATCACCCTGGATAGACTAGAAATAACATCCACCGGCGAAAACAGCAGTCTGCTCCCCAAACTACAAAGGTTGGGGACCAATAGCCTGGGGGGGGGGGGCTGCAACTTCAAATTATACCACACAGAGAGGAAGCAGCTGTGGAACTAAATCACCACCACAAGCAGCAGTCTCTATGTCCCTACGATAGAAGTTGCCACAGTACTCAGGCCAGAGGAGAGCAAGTACAATAGTAAGCCCTGGCCTTGACAGTCCTGCCCTGCAGATCATTCCAAAAGCATGTCAAAGACCTGCTGGATCAACAACATTCAGACTTCACAAGGCTTTCTTTCAGACATTCTTTCTAGCAAGAAGTGATTCCTCAAATTTCTACCCCTAAGAAGTCATTACACAAAGTAAAGTGAGGTAGAATCCCCAGTCTCATTATGGTGTTCCCTGAAATCTCATGATTATGCATACTGTGAGCAATCCCTGCCAGACTAAGCTTGTGCATCAATATGATGGGGAAGCTGGGGCTGCAATCACCAAAACTGGACTCGCATTGAGGTACAGACATGTTTATATCTGCACAACTAACTGGCCACACTTACAGACAGCTGCACTTGCCTCAACAGCATAATTCCTTCAGGACTTCAGGTTCTTGTGTCTTTATTTGCCCTTGCCTAATGTGTGCCCCATAACTGATACAGATCCACCATGAAGTTTCTGTATTCTAAGACTGCCTATCATGCAGGCACTTCAGGGGATGGGGCAGGTACATAGGGAATTTTCTGGTCACTTCTTGGGAAGCAGCAGGGCTGGCCTGACAGACTACAATACCAGCCCCAAAGAGACAACTCCAGCTGCACTGGAACTTCAACCTTGAAAAATAAGCACATAAAATGAAAAAGAGAAGCATGAACAACTAAGATAAGAGAAGCAAAGGCATCCCTAGCAACTCCCATTCCCGTAAAAAAAAAAAAAAATGTCAAAACATTCTTTTTCCAAAAAAGCATTTTCCTTTTTCCTAACCTGTTCTACCACCCAAGTTCCACTCATTTGCCCCAAACTGTTCTATCTACCTGATATGCTAAAGTTTACCACACTCATCGAGAGGTCATAACAAACTTGAAAAATGCTAATTTTGGTAAATATTCTGATATTAGGAAGGGGATGAGATGCACTTTTCAGGAGAATCCACTCTACAAAATTTAGCCATCAGAACTCCAGTCATCTTTCCCAAGCAAGAACTCATGAGGCTACACTTCCACCACAAGCTACCTCTTCCCAAGTGGAGATTGCCTACAGCTAGGTCCCATTCTGCTCCACAGTAATCTGAATGACAAAGGATGGAAAACAGAGAAGTCACAAAGGGTTAATAAAAAGAAAGATAACATCTTCAATAAAATATTTTTACAACAAAGAAAATACTATTGAAAAAAAATCAATTTTTGCCAAACTCAATTCTAAAAGATTCAGCTTCTCTGTATGAGTTCCACTGTCAAAAGTTAAAATATGGATGTGGATCAATTTCCTCTGCTTAAAAAAGAAATATGAGGCCGGGCGGTGGTGGCGCACGCCTTTAATCCCAGCACTCAGGAGGCAGAGCCAGGCGGATCTCTGTGAGTTCAAGGCCAGCCTGGGCTACCAAGTGAGTTCCAGGAAAAGGCACAAAGCTACACAGAGAAACCCCGTCTCGAAAAACCAAAAAAAAAAAAAAAAAGAAATGTGAGAAAGCAATAGGCTAAACTTCTAGAACACCACACAGGCCTAAGAACAGCTAATGTCCTCACAAGCAAAAGGAAAGATTGGCATGGGTTATCAAATTGAGTTTGTACAAGGATACTACCAGAATGATAAAGAAAAATTCTGTTAAAATAAATCCTGCTCTGGACTCATATTAAGGGACCTTAAATGCCGTAAGACAACCAAACTGCTTTCAAAGAT